GAACTACATGAAAGAGAGGTATGTGGTCACGGGATGATCTGCATTGTTTAAATATAAGGCAGCAATGTATCACAGCTGCCAGTTCCCAAGATACTGTTTCCATGGAGAATAATTTGCACCAACATCTAAAATAAAGGGTAACCCAGAGGCAATGATGAAAGAAAACACACAGGTAAGAGAATTAGTTCTAGACTTAAAGTGCTCTTACGTGAAGAAGAATCTCTTTCATGTAGGAGGTGTCTTACTCTGACACCTGGTTAGTAAAGCCCTCATGTCACATGTGTAAGTCTCCATCTGCCTTTTGAGGTGCTTCATTGCCAGTGAAAAGAAAAAAACAAACAAGGTCTGAAATTAGACTAAGTACATTGTGCAACTGTATTCCACAAATTCAGTTTTTGACATTTTGTTGCCATTTGCTTCTCTCAATCTGTAGAGACCATTGACATCTTCACAAAAGGTATTTCCAGTGCCTTGAGTGAGCTTTACAAAGTCTTTACAGAGATTCTAAACAAACCGTATGGGAAACGCAGGTCTACTGTCACCTATTCCTGCACCAAGAAGCTTGCTTAGCGTATCATCACCAAAGAGTATCTCCAGGTAAACAGCTGGAAAGCTCTGCTGATAATGCTGAAACACATTACATATGGTGTAAAAAAGAACTCTTTTTCAGCCCTCCCCATTTAATTGGGGACCCCATTAAATTCCCTCAGATTGACCATTCTAGAAGGAACACATGAAATAGACTGTTTTTGTACTGCTCTGTCACCTGTCTTTCTTCAGTGTGCCATTCTGTTGCTTCTTTCTTGAATGGGAAGAGCTTGATGAATCAGCCCAGGCAGCAGAAGTAAACCTCAAGCATGGTTTTCTCAGCTAAAGCCTTCAGTCATTTTCAAACTGTGGTTCTGGGATTCACCAGTCACTTTTTGTGGATTCTCGTAAAAGGACGCAGAAAAGCAGATTCATATGCACTATAAAACAAGCACTTTCAGCATCATAATCTATGTCTGCTAACACTTTTGGCTTCCTTATGATAACAGTTTTTCTTCTATATTTTGTTTCCTTTTTAAAAGCAAGTTCTAACAGTGGTTGGTACGTATTTTCTGTCATTACCTTTAGTTTATGCAACTCAAAAGTGGGCACTCCACTGCAGAGGCAGGCAGATTGTTTTCAACTACTGCCAATTCAAGTTAAGAAAAAAAAAATTCTAATTACAGAAATGTGTTTGAAACAGAAGTGACCCAAGTCACTTCTGAATAAGTGAGTAAGCAATAAAGAATTCATAATTATTATCATAATTCAGAATTCAATGTGATCTTCATAAGGAATTCAAGAGCGAACTCCTTATGAAGATCACACAGAAGCAAAAGGCAATACAAGTTTGCTGTGGATGTGCAGCACTTCAGTTAGTTTAACCATGTAATTGGAAAACCCAGTGTTTGTTACCAACAAAGGACAACTGTAAATTGTTTGCTGCTTCAGCTGTTAAGGCTTTGGGTTTTTTCTGCTTCTGTCCTTTCAACTCCTCTATCCCCTCCCACATACTGCTATTTTTATATATAGCCAACACTACCAAACATCACTTTGTCACCTGCCACCAATACGCCATCACTCTTTTCCAATGAGGTTTTTGGTACTTCTTATCTTTAGGTAACATCTAAGGTTTCTGGCACTAGGAAAGCTAGGAAGTAGAGAAAGAGGTGTTAAAAAACAAAGTCTGAACTAAGACTGCATAAATGTAAACAGTTCTTCCATCACGTTTCTCATCTACAATTATTGAAATTAACATCATTATCCTGCTATAGGATGGGATTTTGTATGTTTTTAGCAATAGAAAACATGAATCTGAAAGACTGATTTGGTTTGTGGAAGGTGGAAACGGTGATTTGACTCTTTTCTTCTTTTTTGCACTTCATCATGTGACTTGAGTGTTCTCTGTCCCAAAGAACAGTGTCTGTCAGAATGATACATATCACTGACAAAAAATTAAATATTAAAAAAAAAGAAATATAAACAAGCCTGCAGATGTAAAGAGGAACTGGAGACATGTCTGTGGGCTACAGAGAGATATGTGAATAAAATCCCTTACAAGTCACCCTTTTCAAATATTCATCCCATGACCAATGTATAAATGGCCAAATGAATGGCCCAGCGGCTCAACTTACAACAATAATTCATTAAGACAGTGATGCTTGAAGGGACAGGTTTATTACATCTCCTACACCTTTTCATTTCTGAGCTGGTGCCCAAAGCAATAATGGAAATCTTAATCCAGAAAACATTTACAGCAAATTTAGTTTCAGGTTCTGAAATGAAAACCACAAGTATTTGTGCTGTTAATTAAGATGCCATTTGGTTCTCCTCCCTCCTCACACCCCAGGTGATCCTCTAACCTTGAAATAGCATTTTCCATAGATAATATTTAAAAAAACTACACTAAACACAACATAATCCTAAATAATAATTCGTTTTTAATTATATCGTATAGAATACCTTGCAAACAAAAGACACTCATTGAGATTTACTGACAGGTATATTTTTTGGCAAGCCTGAAACAAACCAGAAGAAAAAGCAAAGAATGATTCTATAACCATGAGGGAAAGAAATGTCCATCTCAACAAAGAGGATTGTTACAGCAAAACTTAAACTAAAGAAAAAAATCCACACTTACAGCAGATTTTTGTTTTAATTCTTAGTGCAAGAAACATAACTGAGTTAATCACAGAATCAGTACTAATTCAGAATATGGAAAATTCTCCTATACAGAGGTAGAGTCCAGTGCACAAGGCTAAAACGATATTCAATAGTCTAAACAAGACTGAGCCAGGTTTTACGGAATCCACTTTTTAAAGTATCAGACTGTATGTACATACATACAATAAATAGACTATACAATCTTTAAAGTAGTTTAATAAACTTCACAAAAATTATAGTAGATGCATTGAGATCTTTACATAATCCAAAGTTCATATCTCTATCACCCAGAAATGAATAAAACCAATATTCCTGATATCAAGTTAAATGGAAAATAAGTTTAGCAAAGTGTCAATAAATCAAAATATTTTACATATTCTAAAGCCTAAATTTATGCTTATAAAGGATGAATTTCAAATTCTCTGAAAATGTTCCTTTTGATACTACCTGTAAAGAGGTTTCAAATGCTGTGATTTGCACTTGTATTGTTATAAACACTTTCCTTACATTCCGTGTTCAAGGGAAAAATGGACTTGGATACTCACAGTTCTGATGCATTGGCACAACAAGAATGATGAGAATGAGATTATTTTAAAGGCCCAGAGGACATCAGGAGAATTTATGGACAAAACCTTCATGTCTCAAACTATACAAATCACATTAGGAAGTTAACAGAAAACTGTTTGGTATTACTCCTTCTACCCCGCCAGTGCTTCTCTGCCCGAGGCACCCAAGGAGCACTGCACTTGAAATGAGGTGTGCATTTCTGGCCCCTGGGTTTGCTACAAGCCCATAGGGCTTAATAAAACAAATACGGAATCTTTATGGTTTACCACAGTAGTGCCTAAATCAGGGACGTCTGCTGCCATTCATTTCAGTGATAGTCACAAAGAAATAATTTCAGGGAGCTAAGAGATTTCAGCTCTGTCTTTCTAAACTGTGGGGGGAAAGAAATGGGGGAAATCCCAAAATCATTCTGGGGTGTTACAAAGCAAATAAGTTTACCATGACAAGTTATTTTCTATAAAATGCTCTTACAAATTTCAAGAGGGTAACAGCCACAGTAAGAGGGAACTAATAACAACAACAGAAGAGCTTAATAACTAGAGTTGAAAATGATGTTCACAGTTTGGTTACTTTTAATTTCTATAAGCACCTATGCTGAAAAAAAACAGGGCTTGTTATTTTAGCTTCCAAACTCAATCTACTTGTGACAAATACCTTGTTAAGATTTCCGTTCTGCTCTTCTACGGGACTTCTCACCGGAACAGTTTTTTTTATTCTTTTTCATTTTATAAAAACAGACTCACTTTGATTTAAAGTAAACATATAAAAATTGAGAATATTGCTTGCAACAATGGACCTGGAGGTGAAGGAATGAACTAGTCAGGCCATAAAAAGAAAAATATCTCCCTCAAAATGAATTCTGCTAAAGTTCTAATGCTATGAAAATCTGCAAAAAGGATCACAAGATCTGTTGCAAATTGCAGAGATTTGGCCCAAGTCTTATCATCATCATCAGAATACTTTAATAACTGTATCTTTATATTAAGGAAAACTAAATGATTCCAAGAACTCAGGAAGGCACACACACCCAAGTACACTATAAATAAAACACATCATGAAATTACGAAGATCTTCTGATCCCTGTACACACTTTTGGTTCAGCACTATGGTCAAGTTCTCTCTTTTGAAATACAATAAAAGGCATACAAGAAATATAACATATGCATAATAATTACGAAGAATAATGCTAATAAGACAGCTTACAGAGAAAAGTGCAGTGAAAAAACCCAACGCTATTTATTCAGGGGCTTGTGCTACTGTAAATACAGACTTCATATTTGCTGCTGTGCAAGGGGAAGAATTTATCCTGGGAAGCAGCAATGAGGAACATAAAAAAACAAAACCAACAAAAAAGATATTAAGAGAAACCTTTAAGATGAAACTCTCCGAACTCCATTCCTCTAGTGCACAGTCATCTGACTACATGGTTTGTTTTCATGCTGCCATTTCTCTTTATGAGTACAGTTCATTAGAAAATAGCACAGTTCTTAAATATTTTTCTGCCTCTACTTCATTTTTTCATTTCTTCTTCCAAGCACCTGAATTACTGTTTCCTCAGAAAAAAGGTAAAGCTGTTAGCGAAAGCAAGAAAAAAGTTTTTGCCCATCTTCTCTCCCAAACACTGATTTCTCCATTTCTCCTTCCACTAGGTATTTTACTCATGTGCTACACAATGGGGAGGCACTGTAAAGGCAGCTCGACAGATTTAAAAATAAAAAATCAAAAGTCTCTTTTTGTTTTCCCCCCCAGCCCACCCCGAAAAAAAAATGGATGGATGAAACAGTACGTCCATAGGAATATTCCAGTCTCCTTTGTTAGGAGATAATAGCAGGAGACCATCTAACCACAGTCAGATTGTCAGCACTGACTGACCGTTTCTTTGCAGCTTTCCTGAAGTCCTTATATTTATCCTCACACAAGCGGGAAATGGCCTGTAAGACAAAAGAATGAAAAAACCTCAATTGCATTGGCCACAGCTGTAAAGGTAAAATAAAATTAAACATAGATTTCTACATATAGGTAGAATTACAAAAGGACACTTCCTTAAGCAAAACACATGAAGAGCTTCTCCCCAGATCCTCTTCCTCATCTATTTACCTTAAAAGCAAGAAACAGGCTGACTTTGCACTGCCCACTACAGCTACTTTTGGAGGACTCAATGAGCATATTCCAGGCCTCCTCTTTACAGGCTGGCCATCACAAATCTCACTGAGGGAGCTGACAATGCTTACCTGCTGCTATATGGTAACTCGTGTAGCACTTAATTGGTGAAAAATTGGGGAACACATAATGAAAACAGTTACAGAAATTTTATAAATTCTCCAAATATACTTACAGAGGATGGCTTTTGATTTTTTTTTTCCCTAGAAAGTCATGTAGTAATTACTCTCCACTGATAAATGGTCTGGCAGAATACTCACCTTGCTTTGCCTAGAGGGCTGATGTTTACTTGCCTTTCAGAAGGAGATAGTGATTTCTGTGTGATGAGGCTATCTTATATGGTATCAGTGGGAAGCATAACTCAGTCAGAATAACTTAATTTGCATTAAAAATGCATAGAAATGTTAAAGAGAGAGACAATCATCATTCAAATGTTGACACCTATCATACTGTGATGGAGTTAACATGTTTTATGTTTTTAGTCAAGTTTAAAGCAAATATTTATTATGGACCTCATGTGCACAAATGCACTGTGCCCTAAAATAGCATGTCTGTTAAGACTTTGTATGCTTGGGCCAGGCTACAGTTGGCATCAGGAGGGAAGTTAACTCTGCTGATCGAACACAGAGAACTGCAGAGAAAGGAGTACTCAAGGTCACATTTAAACCACTATTTTTTATTTCCACAGGAATGCTTTTAAGTGGTGTCTTAAGGTAGGTTGTTTAATAAAAAGTACCGTACAAACAAATCCAGTACAAGTGTTTGATTATAAACCAAGACAATATAAACAGCCTGACTTCACTGATGTTCATTTTCTTTCTTGACTTTTACTTCTACAGCACAACAAGTTGTAGCAACGAAGAGTCCTTTAATTTTAATACTCCTGCAAAGACCAGAGGCAGCTATGACAGAAGCACACAACTCAGACATCTGAGAGCAAGCTCACCGAACACTTCGGTCAAGCCAACCACAAAATATAGTTAAACTTAAAAAAAAAAAGCAAAAACGAAAAACAAAACCACAAAAGCTACCACCAAGAAAAGAGTAGCTACTTTTTAGTCGGAAATTGGATTTCCTTTTGTTAGGACCATTCTTGCACCGTTTTCTTTCTTGGTACGTATGAAAAGAACAACAGAATATAATAGCACAAACACTCCCGATGCTTTGTAGTCCATAACTCAACCCTGTTAAAATTGCTAAATAACAGTTTATTTAATTTAACCAGGAACTCAATGGACTAAGACAGTTAATGCAATTCAATCAGCTTTAAAGTTGAACAGATGAAAAGCGTTTAAACACAAAATAATGTGCCAAGGCATGGCTTGGCAAATAGGTGTACTGAGGTGGAGCTCAGGTTCTTTCAGATGTCAAAGTCAGACTGTTTCCTCAAGAATCAAACAGCCAGAGCAGCTGATCACTTCAAAATTTCCTGTTTCACAGGAAAATTTCTGTCCTGGCATTTGGCCAGACAAAATGAAAGTTTACTTGGAAGTGGCACTTAATGTTTGGCTTCTCTAGTCTCTGGTGTTAATCATATGGATAAGAAACACATTGACAGCTGTTTAAAGCAATTCTGTACCTAGAGATACCTTTCCATTTGCAAATAATTTACAAAATCGGCATTTGGAGCTTGTTTGGCAAGTTAGTTAGTCAACTTTACTGTAACATATGGGGAAACAAGACAAAACCAGAAAACTGTAAATATTTATATTGTCCTTCAGTTAAAATAACTCCAAATAGCTTATAAACAAACACCTTTCTGTCATCTGCCTGTTGCTTTTGTTGATAGAAAAAGAAACCAACTTTTGACAGTTGCAAGGGACCATTTCTCATATAAAATCAAAACATTCTTAAAAACAGCAACACTGTTCAATTATGTGAAGTTTTATTGGATTTGATTGTAACATGTAATCAGCTAGAAAAATGCACATATATATATATTCTTCCATTATATATATATATGCAGACAGAATTAGAAGTCTGTTCCTCTGCTGAGTTGTATGACTCTAGATGAGACTTTATCACTGTTGCAGTGAGTGGATATAAGGAGAAAGGAGAGGGGAGAAAGGCAGTAGCAGTAGTACAAATGTTGGCTGCATGCACATTTGTGCAGAACAGGAAAGCTGCAGGGCTGGCTATGGCTTCACTGCTGGGAATGCACAAAGGCACGTAACTGTGAGTGCTACAACATTCCCAAAAAATGGACAGAGCAGGGAGAACTTAGCAGTGGCAGACAGTACTAAGTCTGGAAGGGTTCTAGATAAGGAAAATGTAAAAAAAAACCCCAACAACAAAAAAATATTAGAATAACTACAAGTTGTAATGATGAGCATTCTCCTTAATTTATGGAGAATGAAAATATTAAAAGAAAAACAATCAGATTGCTCCTGACAAAACAGCAGAGGACTCCTGCTCTCCTTTCACTTCTTGGCTAAGAGGGTTCTGAACATACAAAACCCGCAGGATTGCAATCAATCACTGTGACAATGGGAAGCTGGAGAGATATAAAGACACTTCTCTACTTGTAACCTACATATTATTCTCCTCTTTTTTTCTGGCTGTTTGATCTATGGGATGGTATCTCTTTAAGGTCAAGAAAATACAGTATGGAGTTCAAAAGGTTTGAACTATGTGCTCAAGTGCTATCCTAACAACAAAAAGCTCAGACAACTTACAGTCAGTTGAATTGAGAGTGCACTAAACTCTTTCAAAATCTAGCCTTGAAACGAGCACAGTGCTAAGAACACAAGCAGAAATTAGGTAGGTATGTTTTGTGGACTTACCCCAAAGAGCAGAATCTGACTCTCATTTAGCTTAGCACACAGGAGAATAACCAGGTGCAAGAGTAGGAAATTACAAAATAGCTGATTAAGGTTGGTTATCCAACAACCTTCTTGGCAGAAAAATCTCCCATATTAGAAAAACAGTTCTCAGGAGAAGCCAAAGGAAGCCTTGATATTTGACATAATTAAACAGAAGGAGAAAACATACTACAACATATGCTGGTTGGAACAAACAGCATTGGCAGGTGGACAGAATGGATGATCTAATGAAAGGTTACTTGCCATTTTTAACTTGCATGATTCCATATAATGGGGAAAAAAAAAAAAAAAAAAAAAGAAGAGTGGTCATGAAAATGGTTTCTGGCTACCAGGTAAACTGGTATAACAAATTCAGAACAATTTCTGACCACAGGCTGATGAAAAATAAGAAAAATATTACTTCCATATAGTCATTTAAAAGACAAAGCTGCCACTTAAATGTCAATTGTGGGAACATCAAATAAGGGAAAAAAATCCACTGCAGATGCTCCAGAAAGTGATGTCATTTTTAACAAGTACTACATCCTCTCATAACCTCTCTAAGCTGATGGATCTTGTCCAGCATTTCCTTTTGATGAGGAACAGTATTTACTAGCCTCATACTTGATCTTCTTGTTTGCTAGTTCTTTTGACTCAGGTACGTCCACCTCATGATATTTGCAAAAACAGCAATGCAGATTCTGCAGTGCCAGATCTAATACACCTGCTTTAGATACATAAAATAGCTTGAAAATGCAAAAGTAACAAAAATATGTTATAATATAACCATTTCCATTTGCAAGACCTTTTGTGATCTCAAATGTCAGTAAATAAGTTGTTTTACATCTTAGGACTGAGCAAGGTCCTTACAGTTTACCAGACAAGGCAAATCCTTCCACTGCGTACGTACATTCACTAGGAGTTCGTTGTCTTTCATCACAGGCTGCAGTTTTTCTCAGTATCAAAAATATCACAGCCTGTGTGGTACTACATTTACTCTGCTTGACAATCCATGCGATGGTTTCAAAAACAGAACTCTGGGCAGAACAGCACACCAGAGACCTAGAAAAGTGCTGCAAAAGCATTTTCACAACTCTTGGCAAGCTAAATGCTTAACTGTGCTCAAGAAACTAGGCTATAAATTATACCATCAACTAGTTTCAAGGGCACACTAATGACAACCAAGCATTGCCATGGAACACGGCAGTTCCCATCATGTTCCCTTCCTTCTGGCAACAGAACAGAGCCAAGAAGCTGGTAAACCAAGTTGGTTTCACAGCAGACACTCATCGTCTTCCCTGAAGACATCCTTTTTGGTTAACAGGCTTACTTCACAGCCAGTTTCTGCTAGCAGCACAAAGCTTCTAAGCAGCACTAAGGAAAAATATTAATAATACAGATTTATTGAAAAAATATTCCATCATTTCTTTTTAAATGTCTTCTCTTTAGTTAGTACAGAAGAACCACCAGCATTCACAGGTTATTTACAATCATTTATTCCCTTCTCTTCAGAGGTTTGAGGAGTTACTGTTGTCACTCTCATTTGTAAGCCACTGCTCTATATTGTGTGCAACTGATAGTGTTGGGAATTACTGTGTTCTAAATTATCTTCTAAAAGTAATTAACTCATTTTCTATATATGTAATGGCACCTATTATCAAGACCCATTATCTAATAACTTAGTAAACTCTCTCTTGTCATTTAAGATTACAAGCCAAAGGAATTTTAATGTTTTTTTTTTTAAATTCTCTTAAACAGAAACAAAATCTGATGCAAATTTACCTCACATTCCATACACAGAATTGTTACATTTTTATATTGGAGCTATCTGCAAATTTAGAAAGGATATTTAGAAAGAATGAGAAATACAACTTTAGTGAAATCTGCTCTGACTTTTTCTCCACTGCTTTCTGTTCCAATTACAGTCACAAACAAGTCAATTAACCTTCCCACTCACCACTTCCCCCCACAAAAACATGTGTAGTACTGCCTGCCTGTTTTGCAGGAGCACTATAAATTTCAGAACATGCAAACCTCACTAACCCACAGGCAAGCAATCTCCAGTGCAAAGCTGTTACCTAACTAAAGGCATACCAGGTTAAAAGCAGCTACCACCTAAAGACAAATTTCAAAATTAGTAACAAAACATGTACACACTCATGCAATAATGCCCTTATTTGAAAAAACTTCCCATGAGAGAGCTCAGGAAAAACAGATTCCAGTCTTGCAAAGTGCCTACAACTGGCTAACGATTTTAAAATCCTCTTGTGTCTGTGGGAATCCTTAGTGCCCTCCATTTCACAACTCCACGAGCTTTCTACACGTGGTATATTCAGGTCTCATAAGCATTCATGATTTACTCACTGAAGATGTGCACTCACTTGTTTTCCCATTACTGAGAAAAACACCACAGGAGATAACAGACTCGGGTTTGTGTGAAATGGAGCAGTAGCACATAACAAGCACATGGAATAATTATTTTCAGCCATGCTTCTTAATATTCTGCCCTTTAAGATGGATAATCAGTTTTAAGAAGCCGAATGAGCACACAAAACCAGCCTGTGAACACAGCAATTGTAAAACTTGCAGGTACTTTCACAAGGCCCATTCAAACAACTGGAACTGAAAAGGAAATGGAAAGCGTGACAAGGTACGAAGCAAACTGGGCCAAAAAGCTGTTCCCATGCCCCTGAATACCTGCAGCACAAACAAGACAGTTATGACAATCAAGGCACGTGATATTCTAATATCTCATGGGAATATTCAAGAAGAGATGGGAGAAGGGAGAAACAACACAAAAATTCCAAATCTCCCCTTTATATTCCACTCTGAGCACACTCAACTGAAATTGTCTTACCTCAAGTTTATATGCCCTGTCCCTGCTGAGGGGCTCCAAAGGAAAACTCAGGTTATTCGCTTCTGCCAGGGAACGCAAATCAAAATAATACTTGGCATAAACACTGGAGGGAACGTTAATATTGAACTGCAACAGCTCAAGAAACTGGCGCTCCAGCTCATTCCTGTAGGAAGAAGATACATGTGTAAACATATTTCAGGCTGTGCATTCTGATTATAATTTACTTTAAGTTGCATATGGTATAAACCAAGAGAATTTCTTATTCTTGCCAGATGCAATTATCCTAGCCTGAGGTTTGACCTAGTCTACCAGGTTCTATCAGCATACATACACCATATGGAGCAGCATAAGAGATGCTGCATCTTGTAGCTGCTACTGCAATGCCAATCAAATCCAGACACAAACTTGTACTAGTAGAAAGGCACCTTTATCAGTTTTGCCAATTGAATCTGGGAAAGAAAAGCTAGCAGGAAAAAAAATGTTTTGCAGTTTCTGCCTTACCTCCACTAGGTGGACCTGCACACACAGCTATGTGAACACAACGTGCAGATATGCCCTAAAATTGTCAGATGTCTCTCATGAGTACTGCAAATTACTCTAACACCTAAATTACTGAAGAAATTATTTACTCCCTTCAGCCTTTCATAATCAGTCTAGAGCTAGTCAGGGGAAATCTGAATTTTTCAGCATACTGCCTTTATGAACAGAACCAAGCATTTTTCCCTAGGACATCCAACCAAAATTCATAGTGATGATTTGTTTTTCAGTAAACCAAATGTGTTTGTCAAAATATCTGATAGGAACAGAGGTCCTCTTTGAGCTCCCACCCCATGAAAACTTTGGTATTGCAATACGTTTTGATCTATACCAGCACATTAAAAATTCCGTAAGAAATAAGAAAATCAAGGACTGGATATCTTCATAAATTTCATGGTATCTAGACATCCTGCATCACACTTATTCAGGGACATATGATACATGCAAAACAGTGATTTCAAGATATTGAGGCAGGAAAGGGTGGTAAAAGCTGTGAATGTCTGCTAAGAGTACAGGGACTGCACAGCTGTGTTACCAGCAGGTGTTGACTGACTCTGATACTGCATTTACATTACATTTTCACTGGAGTGTAAGTGTGCAAGGAATGTGCAGGCAGTTGGCAACAGAAGAGGAAGGATGTTAGGATAAAAGGAAAAGGTACTGGTACAGTAGCTTTTCAACACTGAATGATTTTTCTTCTTCTCAGTCTTTATTCTTACATCACTCTCACATCACAATCATTGTCCTTCCTTACCTTCACAATCTCTCTGCCAAAATTCTATTTTTACATAATGCTAAATATTAATTAACATTAAAAGACTATCTAAAAGCTGGATATGGACTCTTTAGCATGTATTCACACCGCTGAAGATTATAGCTTTTTAAAAATCAAAATTAAAAAAATGACCTTTCGAGACATCAACCAATAAATACAGAATATTATCTTTCAATGTCCTTTTAGACTGCCAAGATTTTACCTTCTGCAAGCTACGCCTAAATATCTATGTTAATGGATAATATAAAGCCTATTTTAATGGAGAAAGACATTGGCTGTACCTCATTTGAAAAGCATTCCCAAATCTTTAAGAAAGACACATAGCCTCATATTCTTACTATCCCCTAGCTCCCAGATTTGAAGGTTAGACCAGCAGACTAACTACAGCTGAAAAAGAACAAAAAAAATACAAGTTTTTTTTTATTTTAACTAATGTAATTTAACTAACCACCATATCTTTTTTCCCCCATAAATCTACATTAGACTGCTTCAGCATGTGCTTTCCTGTGGCCAATCCTGAAATTCACACAGAAATTCAAGGTAATGCTACACACATGACTACAGATACATACTGAATACCTACAGATATGCTGAAAGGTCTGCTTGATGTTTTGGAAGATACACTTATGCTGAATGATTCACAGCTGCTGAAGAATCTGATTCAGAGTTTTTCTGCCTTATTAATACAAACAATAAAAGCCCCTATTGCATAGAGCTAGACACTTCAAAATCATACTACTGTACTGTGCCAAATACCTGAACAATTAAGAAGCAAAAAATAATAATCCACCAAACCAGGGATAAGAGGGGGAAAAAAAATAAACTGAAATAATGGTAGCAGAAATATAATCATCAGATCAACAAGCACCAAACTCTTTGCTGAAAGATTGACAAGGAGCCCCAAAGACTAAGCCCATGAGCCAGATCACCAAGAACCATGTAGAGAACACAGGCTGCCCACAGGCCTCTGGTTTTGCAGACTGTGAGAATCGTAAAATCTTCAAGAAAAGGTTAAGAAGCTAAAAACCTGGGGGGACAAGGACTCATCACAGGGAATGTGTAGTGCAGAACCAAGGCCAATGTTCTCACAGCAGCACATGTCTGCCATATGAGTAATGGTGTTACATAGCTCAGGTGCAAATTCTAACAGAAGCACCATCACATTTGTTTGTCAAAAACAATACATTCTCTTTTTTTGTTGTTTCCTTTTACACTGTCACAGTATGCCTCACCACTTGCCTGCAAAAAAAGCCCTAAGAACCAGCAATTTCAAAACTTATATTTATAACCATTCCCGATTAATACTGTCATATGGCACAGTCAAGCCTGTCAGTCTGCTTCAAGCTTTTCAAGCACTCTACTTCAGTACATGTCTCAGCTTCAAGAATACTTTAAAAGCTCCCACATTTGCCTTGTAGAAGGACTGAATGGACGGAGGCCCTTACTGCCACTGAATAGCTGAAAGAATGAGAAAAGGATCAAGGGAAAAGTAGCTCAGCAAAATCATTCAAGGAACACTCAAAGCAGTCATGGACACATTATCAAATTGTTCTGCATGGAATAATGTTGCACACAGAAATGTGAAGGGCCTGATTTTAGCTTCTCGTTGCTGCTACACCCTGTTTTATTTTGGAAATCTCATTCTGTCTAGGTTATGTCAGAAAAGAAGTATCATCAACCACCCTGAAAGTAGCTTTCATATTTTAAAACTGATACTGAAAAGGCATTATGTGGTATTTCCCACCTCTATTTTGAAATGAGAGTTTTCCCCAAAACTACTGCAAGTACCTACTGCAATGCAAGCTCTACGTCTATCCCTTTGACCCAGGGGGAAAAAAAAAAATCTCATCACAAATTGCTTGTTAATACAAGATTTGGAGATAACTTTTCTAATACTTGAGCAATGACAACTACTCACAATTTTTAAGTCGTATCTGGCAGTGTATGAGCATGCTTAATTTAAAGCAATCAGCTGACTCAGAACATTTAACAGACAGTTTTTAGACCAGCTATAAATCTGACTAACAACAAACTGATACAAAACTAAATTAGGGCTGCTTTACCAAAACACTTGGCCTTTCACTGCTTTGAGACTGCAAACTGAGATTCAAAAAGCATTCTGTCTATATAAATATTTCATCTCATCTACTTCCCTCCTTCCTTCTTTCTTCCTCTCCCAAAGTACTCATCCACAACAAACTCCAGTGTTTGTGAACCTGACTTAAGTGAGCTAAAGCAGAAATCAGTCCATATACTTCTGATTACAAATACTTAGCTCTGATTAAAATAGCTCTGAAACACACAGATACTGTACTAACACATTTTTTTAATAGTTGGTCATTAGTTCCTATAAAAAAAAAAAGGTGTGCACTAGTAGGCTGTAAACTTCACCCTCTGAATGCATGAGCCATAGTGGCCTGTTGAGGCACCTGGAGCCCCAGCCTCATCCCAGCACCAATTCCAGCTGCAGCCCTTCCAGTGCCACTCTTGCACAAGTGCCAGCTCAGGTAAGGGCAGCCTTACCTGAAAAAGTGTGCCCTTATGGCATGTGGTATGTGACTCAGCCCGGAACATAAAGATGATATAAACTACAGGTGCTTCAGCCAATATATCTAACGCCTGCTAGCCAACCAAACAAAAAAGCACTAGCTTATTTAGTGAAATGAGCATTGATTTTGGTATTTGTAAACATTAAGATCTTAATTGTGTTTATTCTTATAACAATTCTTTTTATTACTGTTGGAATATACTCTAAATATGCTTTGGGAGTATCAAATGCCTACAATAGGCACTTCTTAAGAATCCCTCTAAAAAAAAAAAAAAAAAAGGAAAATGGAAATTCTCTTTGCAAGTTAAAATACTAGATTTTTAACATCTTGGAAATTAACTCTGCAGGGTACAAGGTGGAAAAAAAACCACCCCAAACCCAAAAGCACTAATTTTGAATAATGGCAATAAATAAGTGGGTGATCATCTAAAGATCATCAGGTTCACAAGTTTGTTTTTTTTTTCTGCCTTACATGTTGCTCTACTGTATGTATGAAGAACTAGCAGGACAGTAAATCTTGCTGTAGTGAATATACAGGATGTGGTTGGTTTTGGGTTTTTTTGGTATGTTTTCATCACTGTGCAAGAATATCCACTGGTAAAATACACTTCAACCAGAAAACAAAAATAATCCACGTCTTCTATGTAAGCAACTGTCAAGTAGACCTCATGCCATCTATCAGCATCCACCATATTTAGATACAGTGCAGATACACAAAGTTTAAATATGGGAGAGCTTCCCATCCCCTTTCATGTGCACAGACCTTGGCATTTGTTGACAAAGATAAACATACTGCACTCACATGTCTTCAACTGTGATATCTTTCAGGATCTGGCAGTAATCCACGTTCCACACTGCCTGGTCGTCCCAAACTTTGGATGCCAGTAGAATTGCACCCAGTACAATTCGCTTCCAGTTTGCTGGACAAATATCTATCTCTGCATAAGTTAAAAGTCTTTCAAGATACACCTGTGGAAACACATTAAAATCAAGACAATGTATTTTGCTATCAAATAGAAATGAAAATTAAAACTGTTCTCATAAACCCATTCCAGCAACTATTCTTAGATAAAGTTTAAAGGTTTAAATACAAACATTTATGCCAAGCTCAAGACTGGGTGTGATAAATTCATATTTTAGCTGGCCTTTGCCTTCTGATCATATTACCAGAAAAAACTTATTTTTCTGTCTGTAACTGTTGGCAATATAGTAAAAGATTGGAAAGAATTCAAATGATGGCTTAAACATGTTATTAAAATAATAATGTCAACACATAAAATGCTAATGTCTAACAAGGAAGTCAACCAATAACAGTTACCAGCTATCAAAGAAACACCCATAGTTGTAATTTATGGGCAATCAGTCGCACTGATTGTCCAATTCACAACAAAACAAAAGCTTCTGCAATTCACAACACTTAAACAGTTTATACACCAGCTGAGAAGGCATGTAATAAATCTGCAGTTTGACTAAGTTAATGTTCATTAGCATCTAATCAAATAACGCCTAAAGAATAGCTAGTATATACGAAATTCAGTGTAGGATACACACTGGTAAGGATTTGAGGGGAAGGAGAAAGGAAGAACATAGAGGGGAAAACTTTAAAACCTGGAACAGCTCATGTGATTTTCTATAAGGATGCACACTCACACAAGCAAATAGACGACCTCCAGTGATTTGTGCTTCTGGAAAAGTTTTGCTTTAGTAGAAAGTATTATGTACTTAAAAAATACTAATTCATATCTTTTGAAGCTCATCTATTTTCATGAGTCACCAATAAGACCAAGACCAATTACATTCTTAATATAGTTTTGTTCATGAATTTTCACAATTATATGTACAAGTAATGAAAGGCTGGCAACAAGATCATTAAAACCAATAGACAGCTGTTGTATTATTTAAAATTTTACAGAAAAAAATATTTTATGAAAAAAAATTTAAATATGTGAATACATGTACACAGATATTCAGCCCACAAAATTAACTTTTCATATGCTCTCGAGGACAAATTCCATACCAAGCAAGAAAATCATGGGAAAAACCACAAAACACAATATTAGACAACTTCTGTTCAAAGTGGCCACCACAAAGTGTTAAGTTCTTTGCCTCATTCTCTTACTGAAGGAAAATAAAACTCAAGTTATAGTGTCTGTAACATTCACTGATACAGTTACATTACAATGAATTCATGTGCAGAAAGAATAAAATTTTCTCTCCTCAGCAGACCACTTCTCTCCAGCAACAGATTTCTGAGTCCACTGCGTGGTTGTTTCAGACAGGTTTCACTGCACTCTTCTGGCAATAACTTAAGGAAAATCAGATGCAGCTACTTACTCAGTTAGTAAATTCTACTCTGATTCAGAAATAAATTTTTTTACTGCCTTCGCTTGCACCACGGAAGTGAACTTGTTCTGCAGTTTCATTTCTCACCCATAGAACCTCACCCATGCACCCCTGTGCACAAAGGAGCAGAACTTGAAACTGGAAGTGCTTCAACATGACAAACAGACACATTTACATAACCAACAAATAGTTCTGCTATGCTACTCTATAAAAATACAAGTTTGCATTTACTAAAGAAGAACCTATTCTTTGCATCTTTAATAAAATTTGTAATATCCGCTTCATTGCACTGTGATAAAAAGCAATTAGCCTGTTATTTAGGTCGCTGGTACTCTTAAAAGAGTCTACACTGACTGACAGAAACTTGCGGAAGATTTTATGAGATATTCTGATCAAAGTACAATATACATGCAAAATACTACCTGAAAGGCTGCATATTTTATAAAAACAGAACACTGCTTTGGATTCTGAAGGACAAGCATTTTCTTTAAAATTTTAACCACCTAAAGATATTCTTCTACAGATGCTTAAGGGAATTTACCTCTACTTTAACAAAAGTAGTACACGGCTACTAAGTGAAAATATTACTTTAAGAAATACACATTTAAAAATAATGTTGAAGTTTTTTATTTATCAATTTAAAACATCTTTTTTAAGAAGGGTTATGACCTATTTATAGATACTTACTAAACCCCACAAAATATTTAGAAAATTGTTATCCCAAATTTTGGGGATATCCGTACTTTCAAATAAATACTGGACTGACTTTAAACAAGTAACAACAAAAATTATAAAAGGAGCATATATACAAAGTGGTAGATGCATAGAAAACTTATTTGGAAATGCGTTGTCTCATTGATCCTACCAATGCCAAAATAGTTTCAATGAATTTTTGACATTATAGAATACTCGAAAACTCCGAATAGTTCCAGTATGCTGGACATTACAGACTGGTCAAATAAAAGGATAAGTCTCAGTAAAAGACCTCAGAATACTTACATCTGTGAGATCTCACAGATAAAATTGCTAATTTTTCAGGCTTTTTCTTAACAAATAAGAAACACAGGTAGTAAGATATCATAAAACTAAAGCTGAATTTTCAACAGGCCAGATGCTAGACTCCAGAATATATAATTTCTTCTTTAGCTATGATTTACCCCTGCCTGCCATTCTAAGGCTGAAGAAAACTGTAACTTTATTTTGTAATAATGTAAAATTAACTATTGTTCAAAAATTAATTTTTCCTCAAAAAGAAGGCAAAACACTATTTAAGTACAAAATTATAAAATTCCAAATTGTTTGTCAAGCACATTATTAAAAACAGAATTTTTAATCTCTGAAAAGACTTTGATGTATAAAATTTGGTATTGGGAGTTTTGCCTATGAAGGCTTTCCAGGTGATGTATGAGTCCAAAATAAACAGCACGGTTTAAATCCTTTGAGAAACTGAAATTAAGTCCCTAAAAATAAGCAAGTGGTCACTCCAAGGCAAGGTCTTGAGGCAGAAACTGAAAAAAGAGCATATAAGTGGGTGAGGTCAGAACAGTGGTGGAGAAGAAAAAGACTCACCACTTCTCAAGCAGTCCAATAATACTTATAAAATCACAGAAACATAAAGCACAGGAAAAAGGTCACGTGAATCTCAGCAGAGTTTGCATTACCAGACAGCCCTATTTAAGAGGCTGCCTCTCGCTTTCCAGGCAGCCTGAGTAAAAAAACACCTTGTACACAGTATTACACAAACTTGCTCAACTTCACATGAAAAACTGCTCCTTGAATTATGAACAAATAGCATTCCCTGCAACTGTCCCCGGGAAGCAGAAGACTTCATGAAAGCAATACACCATGCTAGTAGAGGGAGCTTCATAAGCAGAAAGTGTATAGAAGCCATAACATCATGCCACTTCATTTCCTTTACATCAGTGCTGAATTTGACCCCTTACTGTTAATGCGAACATCTTAAATTTCAACTTCCCATGTGCAGTTTTAATAAATTTTGTATGACCAGGCCACATATATAGATACAGAAAGCACAGAAAAATCACTAAATAGTGTCCTTTATTATGTGCAGCTCTGGCTTAGGAAGAGAGAGAAAAAAGAAAAAAAAAAAAAAAAAAAGAAAACCAAGTAAGGACTCTGTTGTGAGCTCAAATTCAAAGGCTTTTCAGACATAAGAACAGGTAAGAACCATGTTACAAGGCAAAACACAAATGAGAATAATTCATAACAGATGAACTTACACCTCAAGGAGATGAACTTAAACCTAAGTAAAAAGAGAGCATAAGCCTGCTACTATCTTCTCACCAGTGTACACTTGAGATATCAGCTTTAAAAATTTAATAGGAGCTTGATAAGACACTATTCTTATACTACCATCATTAGCATACTTAAGCACCTTCCAACAGTCTGTTGAAGGATATGAATAATCACTTGAATCCTTGGTGATAACTGAGGCTTAACTGCAGACATATGGTTCACTGGAGTGAGGCTCTGTATCATCTTCTGATGAAATGGAAGATGATAAATACCTTGCCAGGAGAAAGGTGCTTAGTGTGGCTTCTGGCTACTTCCTTGAAAATGCCTTAAAAGTGAGCATTTTGTTTTGTTCACTTGCTGCGGCCTCCCTGACTCAGTCTTGGGTTTTAAGTGTATGTGCTCAAGTAAGAGAAGACAGAAAAAGAACAAACCTTCTTGCAGCAAACATGCACAGGATTTTATCAAACTCCTCAGCTAATGTAGGAATTCACTGTAATCTGGTACTTGTTTCCCAAAGACATGCCTGTGCTGCCACATTAGTGTAGTTCTTCAACTTTTCAATGAAGCCCACTCAGCCCACAACCAGACTTTGTTCTAGCTCTCTCTAGTTCTAATACAGAGAGAAACAGGTGATTCCACAGATCGTGAAATTTAGGCAGAGGAAAGGCTGGTAACATACTTGAGCTCTCGCCCTGTTGCTGCAGAACATTCTCATAACAGCAGTATACACACAGCCATGCACAGTCTCCTACACAAAGGTAAGAAAGGTCATTATTCCTTACAAATGGAGTTCAACCATTGTTTTCACCTCAGAGCATTTCAACGTACTAGGCCCAGGCCATGGCAGCAGCCCCAGCACCAAGGTTTTAGCCTTGCTGGGGCATCACAGTGAAAAGGAGAGGCAGAGTCTGCCATGCGCTGAGCAGCCTGCACTCCTGAGCGGGGATGCTTCTGGCTGCTGCAAAGATGTGCTGAATCAGTACAGACTTTTGGAGGAGAGCCAGGTGGCTCTCGGCCCCTTTGAAGGAGGCTGGTGGGTGGTTAGTGACTATGCTACTTTTCCCAAACAAACTCATGGCTGGTGGGAGAACACCACCTGCTTTTGCTGGCAAGGGCAAGTGAGTCCTCCCACACGCAGGCAGGCATGCTTCATCTCACTAAAAAACAAAAATCATTGAAAATGTTGACCCAGTAATGGTAAATGTGACACATGGAAATGCCATTTGCATACAATTATATGTTGAATAGTGTCTTAAACACAGGAGTTATTTTCTTAAGTACGGGGTTTGTATCAGACTCGGGATTCTGTGTGTACTATGCAGCTCAGGGTATCTGTGTGTTGTAATGAATTTCTGTGGCCTGATTTTCAA